CTATTTTTCTCCAGGTTTTGAAAAGATCTCACTTGTTTTGGGTCATGTGAGATCCTTAAATATCACTTACAGACATGCAAATAATTAATATTTGAAAGGAAATATAGAAAGTTTCTGCTTCTGTTTTTTTTTACTTTTTTATTATTCCCATAACCATGCATATATAAACAAAAAATGTTGTATAATCAAAACTTTTCAGTAACAAATTCATATGAGGCATTGTATTCATAAATTTGCATTCACATTTGCTTTAATTGAACTAATTTTTTGAAAATGTCTTTAAAACGTTCACACAGCAGCAGTACTATAATCATGAGAGAAGTTTGGTTTTTTCTGTATTCATTTCAGGCTGTGTCTGCATATTTTCAGTGAGGTACAGAATTGAGACTGTTAACTCAAGCCAAAATTTTTAATGTAAAGTGTATGTTTGGTTATTTATGTTTTTACCCATATAAGTCATATCTGAATTAATGAAGATTACTCTCTCCTATGATGATTTTATTATATAAGATGTCAGAATGTGTATCATAATGGGATAAAAGTAAGCATTGGGATCCAACTAACCTGAGGTTCAATCCAGGACCCACTGTTTACTAGCTTTTGCATTTCAATCAGTTAATCTCAAAGTGGGATTTTTGCGAGGATTAGAAGTGGCACTTGGAAAATGACTAGCATAGCACTTGGCATAGACACTCTAAATCTGTTAGAAAAATGTGTGGGGGTGGTGGCATGGGAACATATTCCTGGCTGTATTCACTTCACTTCCCATTTTCCCCAGATCTAGGGTCCCTTAGGCCTTGTAAGGATGTGCCCCCTCTTTCAGGACAACCCTTTATCAATAATGTCCCAGCATAAGCAATGCTTCCTCCACGGATGGAATGCTGCCTGCTCCCTCTGGCCTGGGTCTCATAACTTTAGCCTCTTCTTTCTTCTCTATCAGGACTCCAGGCCTGAGAGTGGTGCTTCTCCCAGTCCCTCTGCATCCAGGCAAGCTATGTGCAAAGAAGTTCTGCCCTTAAAGGGCTTTTTGGAAAAGCATACAAGTCAACTTGATCCAATATTTAGCACTTGTTCTACTTCACTATGTGTAATGAGCGATGTGACTTAGGCAAATCAGTTTACTTCTCTGGACCTTGGTTCCTCTTCTGTAAAATGAAGAGTTGAGTTGGATAGAATCAATGAATAGAATCAGTGTATTAGTGCCTGATGCTACTGCAGGCATGTTAGTATTACCAGCAAGGACTGCAGTGATCAATATGCAACCTCTTCTATAGAGTGATGTGGTACTAAAAGCATGGGCTTTTGAGTAAGAGGAACTCTGTTCAACTATCCTTATAAGTAGAATCTAACAAACAAATGCAAAGTCTGTGACCAAATGCTAGGTCCTTAAGTTTCAAATAAAATGTCCTTCTCTTCAAAAATGTAGAGGATATTACCTCCTTCATGGGGTTGTCATGAGGATTGAATCCGATAGTGTTTGTATAATGCTGGGACCTCGAATCAGTTCTTACTGGGGAGGTTCAGTTTTCATCTTACTCAACACTATCAGCAGCATATGACACAGCTGATCACACTGTCCTCCTTGAAACACTTTCTTTATTTGTACTCTTAGACCTCTCTTTCCTATCTCCTGGACTTCTTCTTAGTCTTCTTTGCTGAATCCTCCTCATCTTCCTCACCCCTGAATGAGGGCACACACTGGGCTTCTCTATCAACCTTCAGAACTAGATCATCTCATTCAGACTCATGGTTTTAAATGGCAGCTTTAAGCTGATTACGACAAAATTTTTATCTCCAGCAGAGATCTCTACTATGAAGTCCAGTTTCATATGTGCAGCTGCCCATTTGGCATCTCCTTTTGGTTGAATAATAGGCATATTAAACTCAACATGTCCCAAACTGAACTTTTCATCTCCACATCATCCCTTTCTTGGTAAATGACAAATCTACTCTTTAGTTGCTTAGGCCAAAAAACTTTGGAATTATCCTAATCTCCCTCATCAGTCTACTAATAAATCCTATTGTCTTGGTTCTCATGTATCTGGAATATGATTACCCGTTACCTCCCCTCTGCTGCCTTTCTAGCTCAAGTCACTGTCATTTTCCATCTTGGCCATTGTAGTACCTTTTAACAAATCTCTCTGCTTCCATTTTACCCCATCTCCTCACAGCAGCCAAAAAGATCTTTCTGCAGCATAAGCATAGTATCATGTCACTTGTCATTGATTGGGTTTCCCTGAAAGCAGACTGAAGTAGAATTTAGCATGTAGAACTATTTTAAGGAGTGTCCTTGGGATCAATATATGTGGAAAAGAGGAGAGGGTCTGGATTGGTCAAACGGAGAATTCAGGAGGTTATACGGGCCCAATGACAGGCTTGGCCAACCACATGTTGGACTTTAGAACTAGAATGGTGTGGAGAGTGGCTACAGTGTTCAGACAAGATCAAGCCTTGGACTAAATTGTGGCAAAGCCACATACAAGTCCCAGCTTGGAGGGCAAAGCCCTCCCAGCACAATTATAGTCAAACTGCTGTGGTTGTAAGCTTTACCTTATAGTCGGACCCTGCAGGCCTAGGTAGCTAAGGGATGTGGGCTGCTGGGGTGGGGTGGGGGAGTGTGCAGCAAGTGCTGCCAAAACAAGGCTTGATAGAGTTCAGAGAATGGCAACGGGAAAGAAGCAGATTTGAAACTGGCAAGAACATTGTAAACATCTTGCCCTTGTTTTGCTTTGTGATCTGAGTATAAAATAAAGCTTCGTCTTACAGGCTGTGTCACTGTTTCCTCATCCAGGCACAGTGATCCACCTGGTCCCAACTGTATTCTCTTGTCTGTTTTCTTTAATCCTTCACCTCCCCTCCTCAGGTTCATTCCTAGCTGTGCTGGACGAGGTTCAGAATGGCCCTTCAGAGCTGCTTCAAGTTGGGCTAAGATGGCCAGGCCTTTATGCTCCCTCATCAATCATTCATGCATGTGGCCTCTCCTGCGAAGGGCACAACCTCATGCAAGGCATCCCTCTGCGAGCCAAAAGCACTCCCAGACAACAGGGAGTATCTGGGTGGTACAACACAGGATCCATGACTCCTCTACCCATTTCCTTCCAGTTGTTTCCCAACTCACTCAGAATAAACCCAAAGTCTTTATCATTTCTCTCTGACCTCATCTCCTACCACCCTTCCCTTCACTCACCCCCACAAGCCACATTAGGGACCTGGAAGTTTCTTGAACTTCCCCTTCTCCTACCTCTCACCAGTATACTCCTATCTCCAACACTTGCTATTTCTTCCGTCTGCAAAGTTCTTCCCCACAGATATCTACAGGGCTGGCTCCTTCACTTTATTCAGGTATCTGCTCAAAATTTGTTTCATCAGAGGGGTCTTCTTCTCACTAACCCGTAGCAAATAGCACACTGCCCTTTCGGTCTGTTCCCTTATTTCACAGTTTTCTTTTTAGCACTAAATCAGCACTTAAATCATGACTTAATGTGGATGCGCGCGCACACACACACACACACACACACACACAACACACTCACCGTCTGTCCATCAACCACCTCCACTTGGATATAAACTCCACAAAAGACAATATTTTGTTTTTATTCACTGCCATATCCCCAGTGACTATAACAGTGCCTGGCATTTAGTATGTGCTCAATAAGTATTTGTTAACTACAATTATTTTGGGAGCAGAACAGTATTCCACAGTAAATAAGAGCTAAGGCATTGGACTGAAACAAACTTAGGCATTATTTGTGGTTATAAACTTATGAGCAGAGTAATGTAGGATATGTTATTTGCTCGCTCTGCATCTGAATTTTTTCTCAGTTGTAAAGTGTAGATGATTATAATAGTAAATACATAATAGGCTTGTGTGAGATGTAATGGAATGATGTATATAAAGCATCATTAAACACCAGATGGATAACACTGACAATCTAAAAATTACTTATAAGCGCAATGTCTAGCTCAATAGTTGGTCATCATTTTTTTCATTTATGATAAACATATAGAATGATTTGTGGTTAGAGTTGTTTTTTATGAACCTGTGATTGTTTAAATTATGCAAATAAATTGTTCATCATTTTAGCGTGTGCCCTGTAGATAGCCTGGGCTGATTGATATATCATTCTTTTCAATTGGGAGAAATTTGTTTTATTTTATTTTTACATTAGAGCGTTTCAACCCAACAAAAATTTTCATGTGTGGTGTTGGAGAATGTTTTCATTCAGTCCAATGTGGGGAAAGGAAAATTCCAAAGGAATCTTGTGATTTCTTTTGCAGAAAAAAAAATCATCCTTTTGCAACCAGAATCATCATTCTATAATTGTTTTTGTAAATGTGGATGTATGCAAGCTTGAATTTCTGCAACTCTGTGGAAGGACTTGCTGCAATGCTTCTTACAGTGTGTGTATATATTTACTGCATAAAAGGCTCTTCGGCAGTTTTACTGATGGTGAAAATGTAGGAGGGAAGTCAGAAAATACATGTTTAAGCTCTTGTCAATCTGCATACAGAAACAATTTAAAAACTTTAAATAAAAATATCTTCGCAGATTTAAATTGTTATTTCACGAATAATTTTTAATGTAGTAAACGTTCTTCTGGGCAGTAACAGCAACAAGAGGAAGGATGAAGGGCAGAGAGTGAGAAATAACTTTGAATGTCTGCAGAAGCCCCCCCCCCCCCCCCCCCCCATTAGCCTAAAAGCAGGGAGGTTTGCACTATAAAGCGGGCGCAATACCCAGGTCACCCCTATCATTCACTACAAGTGACACCCGCCCACCTAGATCGAAAATCACTGCTTTTAGAGAGCTCGAAACACCAGCCCTCTCTCCAATGAAGTCTTATATTTTGCCATTCTGCGTGACTAACAACGCTAGCTTTAAACAGCGGCAGTAAGAGAACACTAGCGGATTCCTTGAACCGACGAGGAAAAACGCAGGCTGTCAGTTGACACGGGCATCCAATCGGCGCCCGCTTCTCAAAGGCCAATCACAGTTTGTCTTACATCGAGGCGCCGGGGAGCAAGGAGCCGGAAGTGTCAGTCTCCCGGGTGATGCTGCCGTGGTCACCTGCAGGGCTGTGCACTCCCGGGGCTGCATTCATACCTGAGCTCTAAGGGACAAGCAGTTCAGCCCTTTCTGTGCTGGCTGGGTTTGCTTGTATTTGTTCCTAGTCACCGCTCATGTAATGCACTCCCTGAACCAGGAAATTAAAGCATTCTCCCGGAATAATCTCAGGAAGCAATGCACCAGGGTGACAACGCTAACTGGAAAGAAAATTATAGAAACGTGGAAAGACGCCAGAATTCATGTTGTGGAAGAAGTAGAGCCGAGCAGTGGGGGTGGTTGTGGTTATGTGCAGGATCTTAGCTTGGACCTGCAAGTTGGCGTTATTAAGCCATGGTTGCTCCTGGGTGAGTATATCGATTTGTCATTGAGTCCTTTGATCATATTATCTTATCATTATTTACCTTAATATATTGATAGTTTGTATTATCAGCTGTCCTGCCGAAAAAGTTAAAAGGTTTCCTTTTTTGGACACGGGACTTCCCTCAGCTAGCTAGAGGAGTTTCTGCCCCCATAGAAAGTATAGATTCTAGTAGCACATAGCACCTGGTATTTGAATTTTAGGAAAAACTTTCTTCCTGTTTTTCTAACTCTGGAGAATAACACATTAATGTAGAGGGGGGGGAGTATTATTATAAAAGGATATAGTTTTTAAAAATCAAATGAAAAAAATGCTTTTATTAGGAAAAACTTCAAGTTTGAATTTAAAGTTATCGAATAGTACTTGAAATAGTCGAGTGCTTGCTTGCCTGTTCTGCGGTTACAAACCATGAGGAAGGCATGCTTCCTGTGACCACATCTGTCCATGGTGGCTGTTTATAGAATGTGAAGGAAAAGGTGGACTTTATTTTATAGCTATGAGTCTGATGATTTTATGACTTTTTGCATTATGGAAAATACTGATTTTTCTATACAAACATTAGTCCACAAATAACAAACGAAGCACAGTTATAAATGTATAAACTTGTTAGCTTGGCAAGAATATGGTACAGTAGTCTTAATAAAATAGTCAACAATTTTTTCAGGTTTGAATTCTTTTTCATTTATGAATAGAGAAATTAAGAATTGGAAAGATTAATAATTTGTCAATATTTATGCAGCCAAGCCATTGTTGAATGAAAGCACTGGACTGGGAGTCAGAAATAGCCAGATACACACAGCATCTCACTCCTTTTAAAAACTCTGAAGTAGTGATCATCAGCTCCATTTTACAGATGGGATCTGGATTTCAGATCAGTTAAGTAACTTGCACAAGGTTAAAACACTAGTATTTAATAGCTGGACATCAAGCTCAAGTCTGATTGACTCCTGCTCTCTGTGAACATATAGACTGCCTCAGGGAGTCCAGGTTTTCAGCCCTGCTGTGCCTCTAACTTAACTAGATGAACTAGTGCAAGTCATTTATCCTCTCTGGTCCCCCTAAAAGCCATCTGTAAAGCTGAAGTAACAGTGTCTGCTTATCTCATAGGGTTGTTCTGAGGTTGTTGTAAAAGGGCTTTTGTGTTGTACGTGTATCTGTTTGTGTGTGGAAGATTTTTGAAACAAACCAATTGCAGTATATATATGAGATGTGATTGGTTGTGTATTGTATGAATTGTTACATGAGCTATCTTTAAATTCACCAAATAAATATCTCCAACTAGTTTGTGCAGCAGTGAAAAATTAAGTGGGTTTATCTAGCTAGTCTGGAAACTTCACCCAGGACTTGCACACCTAGGAAAGGATATATATCCAGGCACATTTTTCAGTTATTTGGCTTCCATTGTAGTAATAATGGTTTAACATTATTGGAGAATTTTAAATTTTGCTTATTATTACTTTTTTATCTAGACGTATCCAAAGGGAGCTGATCAAGGTAGTGTTCTCATAATGGCATTGGGATTCTTCCCAGGATCCTGGGAGAGTTCTGGAGGGGCTTGTGAAACTGGTACCTTATATGGTCCCCTCTCTGGACCAGGAAATGGGATCTTTTCATCAGGCACAACCTCCTGTCTTCTGAGAGGAAGCGGGACCTTTTCCTGCTTAGTTACAAGTGCCTCATTCCTGAGGGACCTTGGACGGTTACATCTAAAGTTCTTCCACATGAATGATGCAGGGGTTGTTTCTGACCAGACTAGGTTTCTTTCTGGAGATGGGGGTTGTTTCTAGGTTGCCTCCAACAGCTTCTTTCACCTCTACAAAACTACACAACTCCAACCCAGCACTACCTGCCAATTAACTTTTGTTTTTGGTGGAGAATAAAGACAATGTAGAGCTAAATATAATGCATATATTTGTATAAAATATAATCTGTCTTTCTAAAATATAAGTTTAAAATATATTCTGTCTTTTAAAAATATAACCTGTCTTTTTCAGTTAGTTCATAAATTCAAACAAGCTTCTACCTTTCAAAAATCTCACATAGGCCCTTGAACTATCTGACAGGTTGCTAAAAGATGTTAGTGAGAATTTTTGTCCTAGGCTTTGCAGATTATATTTTTACAACTTTTTAAAGGACTTTTCTTCAATTAAACTTCATTTGTAAAAGTCGAAAATTTTGTCCTAGCTGGTGTGGCTCAGTTAGTCAGTTCCCGATCAGGGCATATGCCCAGGTTTCAGGCTCGATCCCCAGTGAGGGGCATGCAGGAGGCAGCCAATCAATGATTCTCTCTCATCATTGATGTTTCTCTCTCACCCACATTCACTTTCTCTCTGAAATCAATAAAAAAATATATTTTTTAAAAGGATACTAAATTTGTATCAACATACTCATATTCTGGAAGTCACTTTAAAAATATGGCAGACAACTCTGAAATATAATAGACCTGTTCCTTTTGGGGTGTGTGTGTGTGTGTGTGTGTGTGTGTGTGTGTAATGGAAATGATCAAAGTATCCAGCTTTGATAAATATAATAATGACAGTTTAGGGTGAAAATACGAAAGAATGTCTAGTCCATGTTTCTTTCTTTTTTTTTTTGTAAGGACTTGTCAAAGTAGAATTATTATTTAAAAAATGAATACATGTTAAACCATCATATTTCAATTAATTTTTTTGATCCCATTTCCCCCCCTCTGGAGATGGTAAGGACTTCTGATAGAGAGCTGAGAATTTTTTAAATTATGAACTATTTCAAATGCACAGAAAATTTCAGACAATACTATAACAGGCAATTGTGTATCCACCATTCAGCTTTAACAAATGTTAATATTTTGATAGGCTAACTTTTAAGCAAAATAAAGCTCAGTGAGGAGCCTGTGAGCTTTGTATTACCAAGAGAATATTGACCAACCAGCCCACTTACTGGCCTTTCCGCTACCTAAAACCATGTCATAGAAGCTGGCAGATTTCCCCATTAGGTAAGGTAAGAAAAACATTGTTTATGGAAATAAAACCTAATTCAGGAAAGTAAATACTTGAATAATAAATATCCTATTTTTTCATTGTATATATTTTTTCACTTAATTTTAATGAGTTATTCACTTGTAAGAATTTGCTTATTAACTAGAGTCCTTTTCCAAGTGTGGGAAATCTGGAAAGCAACTTTGACAGGAAGAAACTGTAAAAGGGTACAGTGCTAGCGGTGCACAGAATGTGGGTGGCATTCTATAGACCAGCAGTGCTTGCTTTAATCTACTGGGTGTTCCCAAACCAGCTGGTAGTAAGTCTTTTTAAAGATATTCTTTTTTTAAATTTCTAAACAAATATTTTTTTGTAAAAAATACAAATGAGCTGAAAGAAGAAAAAAAATCACCTGTAACCCCACTTTTAACATTTTGTTCTATATACAGCCTGTCCCATTTTAAGCGTACACATTTTTTGTTATTACAAAAATGGATGATGGTATATTATAACCTGCTTTTATTACCTAATATCCTGGGAATATATTTCCATGCCCTATCTAATATCTGTTTATATTTCACTACACAATTGAACCATCTTTTATTTAACCCAATCCCTATTATTGGATTTTTTTTTTAAATCTAGATTAAAAACAGCCTATTATTGGTTTTTTGCTTTATTTTTGTGGTATCACAAACAATACTATGATGAACATCCTGATAGCTGATCTTTGTAACATCCAGAACTTTTAGGACAAATTCCTAGAAGTGGGAAATCACAGTCCAAGCGTAGACACAGATGAATATTTTTATAGCTGTCACCAAATTGTCTTTCAGAAAGTTGGAATGAGGTCCTCCCAAGTTGTTGTTTTTAAAATAAATAAATAAATAAATACATAAATAAATAAATAACAGAATTGTTGCAAAAATTGGATAAAAAGTCAGGATGATTATGTTCATGTTCAAGGTGATATGACTTTATTTCTTATAGGATCACAAGATGCTGCTCATGACCTGGATACACTGAAAAAGCACAAGGTAAAAAAATATATATCTATGTTTACTGAGGATAATAATACAAAGCAGAGGTGTGAAGAGCTATAGGAGAACAAAGTGTTATGGGACCAGAAGGAATAGATTACTGAACTTGCAGTCCCCTTGCCCTGAACTAAGTATGGCCTACTCTGTCATAAGGTCTCAGTTGAAAAGTAATACCTTCAGAAAGGCCTACCCTGACTCATGTTGCCGCTTCCCAACTCGCCGCATTGCCTCCTTTGAATTCTTTCAGAGAATGTATTCTCATCTCAAAATCTTCTTTTAAGAGCAAGGGTCTTACTCCTTGCTCATTTCTGTATCTCCTGAACCTAAAAAGGGGCCTAGCACTCATTTACTTCATGGGTGAGAGGCAGGGTTGCATTCTTTTCGATACTCCCTGCCTCTCCCAAATCACTTTGTTCCACCCTCCAGTAAAAATCGTTGCTCTTGCCTGGCCGGTGTTGCTCAGTGGTTGAGCATCCACCTATGAACCAGGAGGTCATGGTTGGATTCTTGGTCAGAGCACGTGCCTGGGTTTCAGGTTCGATTTCCCAGTAGGGGGCTTGAAGGAGGCAGCTGATCAATGATTCTCATCATTGATGTTTCTACCTCTCCCTCTCCTTTCCTCTCTGAAACTAAGATGCAGCCTGACTGGTGTGGCTCAGTGGTTGAGTGTCGACCTATGAACCAGGAAGTCATGGTTTGATTCCGAGTCAAGGCACATGCCTGGGTTTTGGGCTTGATCCCCAGTAGGGGGTATGGAGGAGGCAGCTAATCAATGATTCTCATCATTGATATTTCTACCTCTCTCTTCCTCTCCCTTCCTCTCTGAAATCAATAAAAAGATTTTCTTATTTTATTTTTAAATATTTTTTTAAAAAACTAAGACATACGCTAAGAAATAATAAATACAATGACAAGCATGCTATGACAAGAAACTGACTCATTTGGACTTTCCATGGCTCCTTCCATATGCTTGGCGGGCTCTAGGAAAGGGGCTTGAGTGCATATATGGAGTAGGAGGTTGCTTATGTGAACCATCTGAAAGAAAATCTGTCATAGCCATCCCATGTTTCACCCACACTAATTCATCAGAGCCTTTGGGTTTGATATTTTTTTAAAGCTCACCAGGTGATTCTAATGTGCATCCACACTGGAGAACCATGTACTTACGAAGAGGAAATAATTATCAAAAGGGAAGTTTGTGCTGCTGACACACGTCTCTTAAGTTTTTTATATGGACATCCATTGACTTATTAAACAAACATTTTAAGTACTTTCTGTGCCAAGGTCACTGCTCATTCACAATGCTTACTTATAATAGTGAGTAAGCGCCCTTGCCAGTTTGGCTTACTGGGTAGAGCGTCGTCCACAGGATGGAAGGATGCTGCGTTTGGTTCCGGTCAAGGGCACATGCCTGGGTTGTGGGCTCAATCCCTAGCGGGGGGCTTGCAGGAGGCAGCCGATCAATGATTCTCTCTCATCATTGATGTTTCTCTCTCCCTTCCTCTCTGAAATCAATAAAAATATATTTGGGGGTGGAGGTGGCCAGGGAGAGGACAATGGGGGAAATAGGAGACTCATGTAATACTTTAAACAATAAAGAATTTAAACTTAAAGAAATAATAATAATAGTGAGTAAGCTACACATGCTCCCTACCCTGGTGGAGTTTCTAATACAGTGAAGGAGACAGACAATGTCTAAGAGGTAAGGGTTATAATGGGAAAAGTAGAGAGTGCTATGAAAATATATAGAAATAGCACCTCGATGAGGGATGAAGCATCAGATCAGGCTTTCTTGAGGAAATATTACTTAAGTATGCTTCATGGTTAAATTGTGTATTCTTGTTACAATCTCAACATCCCAGCCTCTTTTTAATTAACCTACTTCATGAGAATTTTTTAAAATCATCCTTTTTTTTTTTTCCTCTTTAAGGTGACTCATATTCTCAATGTTGCATATGGAGTTGAAAATGCTTTCCTCAGTGACTTTATATATAAGAGCATTTCTATACTGGATCTGCCCGAAACCAATATCCTGTCTTATTTTCCAGAATGTTTTGAATTTATTGAACAAGCAAAAATGAAGGTAAGTTTGGTTTTGATCCAAAGTTCTTCAGAAGCAGGAATTTTAAAATATGGGTCCATTACTTAGTTTTTATTCTTTTTGTAGTGAATATGTAAAGAACCATTATGAAACAACATGAATTCCTACAACTATTTAGTTCTCTAATTGCTCTTTTCTCAATGATATATTCATTTTCAAAATTAATTTCTCCTCTTCCTATGCCCGTGTATATATGTACTTAGATTTCCTCTGACAGTTTAATAACCCACCTGCCACTGATCAATTTGTAAGCTACTCAAGTGGACTGTAGGATAGAGGTAGCTCTAGTCCTGTTAATGTATTTATGAAAATTAATATGCATTTATTTTTGTGGCCACAGTAGGGATTGTGAATCTGTGCATTTTAACAATAGAATTTTAGGGTGCTCTAAGGACTGAATGGGTATTGCTTTTCTGAGATTGTATGAAAATGCTGATAAGAAGCTGTTCATTGGGTCTCTGGCTATAGAAGACCAACTGATGGTATAATACTTTGATCTTGGTACTGGATCCAAGTCAACATGCTGACAGGCCGGGCTGCTGCTTTGGCTGTTACCCATAATTCGACTGAAATGACATCATTTTTAATCAGCATGTAATTCTTACAAACTTTATGTGAGATGAGTAGATGGGGATGTAGAAGCACTTACAGAGAAAAGCTAACTCTCCAGGAACACCTGATTATTAATGACAGTTAACATTAGACTCCAGTTTAATTGAATTTTGTCTAATGATCTCCTTTCTGCCTTTTCCATCCCTTTTTCCCTCCTCTCCCTTTCCGTCTCTCTCTCAAATCAATAAAAACATGTTTTTAAAAAAGAAGTTCATTTGAAAGTTTTTATCAGATATTACACTATGATTATCTTCAGTCTCATCAAAATGAACTATTGTACAAAGTGAGAAAAGTTTCATATGTGTATAGTGAATATTTGTGCTTTGCTTTTCTTGTACAAAAAGTTAATATCCGGAAATGACTCAAATATATATACATACTAGAGGCCTGGTGCACGAAATTCATGCACTGGAGGGCGGGTCCCTCAGCCCGGCCTGTGCCCTCTCACAGTCCAGGAGCCCTTGGGGAGCAGGCCTAAGTGGTCAGTTGGACATCCTTAGTGCTGCCACACAGGTGGGAGAAGCTCCCGCCACTGCCGCTGCACTCACCAGCCTGTGAGCTCAGCTTTTGGCCGAGCAGTGCTCCCCCTGTGGGAGCGCACTGACCACCAGGGGGTGGCTCCTGCATTGAGCGTCTGCCCCCTGGTGTCAGTGCGCATCATAGTGACCAGTCGTTCCACCATTCAGTCAATTTGCATATTAGCCTTTTATTATTTAGGATAAGAAAACAATTGAAATTGTCTTTTTGATATGAGGATTTTCAAAATATTAACTAATTTTGTTGTGGATCACATGGATTTCTTGAAATGAGATGCACTTGCAAATTTGTTACAACAGATCTAGGCAAGGAATTTTGCAACGGATTTATGAATCTGAGAAAAATGCCTTGCAAAAGTAAAATAAGTCAATGAACTATAAACATAGTATTGCTAATATATGCTTTGGGTAGAGAGTTTTTAGTTCTAAGTTGTTTTTTTCCCCCTTCCTCTGTTTCAATCTTTTACCACAAGAAGAATCAGGAAATTAAGTAACTAAAATGTCTAGTTCTGTAGTGTGTCCCACAGTTCACTACATTTCATTCAGAACATTAACTTTTTAAAAGCCTGAAACAAGCCAACCTGTATCAGTGGTGTTCCATCAGATCTATCACATTCATTATTAATGCAATATTACCCCCATCAGCATTGGTCTTACACTGTGTCTCTTTTCACTTACAAAGTATCATTTTCAAGCTACTTGAAACGTTATTCATTTATTGACCTCATGCTGGTGTCTAGTTACCTTTTCTACTTCACATTGTCATGCGCTATTTGTGTCATTTTACTACATCATAAGTTTAGCTTATTTTTTTTAATTTTTAATATTTTCCATTACCATTTATCCCCCCTATATCCTCCTACACCTCAACCCCCCCAATCACCAGACTGCTGTCCAACTTCCCTCCAGAATATATCTAAAGGTAGAAAATTGTTTTCCTTGCTGATCATTTTACACAGAGATTTCCAAACTAATGCCACTATCTTTATGGGAACACTCTGTGTACATGGAATAAATCAGGCTTTCTGTTTAGTTTATGGTTATGTTTTCTTCATTAAGCTTGTATGTGTACTTTACTGGGTTATTTCAGTTTAACAAAGGATACTGTTTCAGAATTCCAAAGACCTCATCAAAGCACTTCAATCCTAGCAGTTGGAAAGAGGAGGTGTTGGTTGATCGATTGATTAGTTTTTCCATTCTTTCCTTACAATGAATTGTATTTTGATAATTGAATAAATTGATAGGATGAATATCTATATATATAAAAGGCTAAGTGACTAGCCGACTGGCCAACTGGCCGGTAGGTATGATGCGCATTGACCACCAGGGGGCAGACGCTCAACACAGGAACTTTGCAGAGTGCCCTCTTGCACTCCGGGACCCATTGGGGGATGTTGGACTGCGAGTTTTGGCCCGATCCCCGCAGGCCAGGCCAAGGGACCCCACCTGCCAGAGGGACCCCACTCACTCCGCAGATGCCCTTCAAGCCCCAGCGCCACCACAGGTGCAGCCGGCGGGGGAGGGACTGGGGGAGGTTGGCTCCAGGGTGTGTCTGGCCTGTCTCACCCAGTCCTGCCCCGCCGGCCGCCTTCTAATTAATTTCCTTTCAATGTGCACGAATAGGTGCACCGGGCCTCTGGTTTTTTATAATTTTTAATAGTATAAGAATGTACTATTGATTTAATAACCTTTCTTAAATTAATAATGAAGAGTTTTGTTTGATTTTTATTGCAGGATGGAGTGGTTCTAGTCCATTGCAATGCAGGGGTTTCCAGGGCAGCTGCAATTGTGATAGGCTTCCTGATGAATTCTGAAGAAATCTCATTTGCCACTGCTTTTTCTTTGGTGAAAAATGCAAGGCCTTCCATATGTCCAAATGCTGGCTTCATGGAACAGCTCCGTACATATCAAGAGGGCAAAGAAAGCAATAAGTCTGACAAAATACAGGAATTAGAAGGAGACAACAGTTCATGAGTTACATTCTAGCAGATGATGGACAACTAGTTTCTGAATTGGCTTCTATAACCACCTTTCCCCTTTTTGTAGACTAATAAAAACTTCCTTTTCTCTTGCCTTTTTTTTTTTTTAGTGAAAATGAAGGTCAATTGATTGTCCTGAGATAGCATATAAATAATTTTAAAAATTATATCATGTTTTCTTTGGTATTATAATGTGTGATTAAATGCTTCTTTGATTTGCTAAGGGAGAATAACAATGTATTACCAATAATTGATTTCTGTAGAAGAAAAAATGCTTAAATTTAAAAATCTGTGTTAGAGCATGGAAAGGTTAAATCAGTGATTAAGACTTTTCTATTCCAGCAACTGTATCCAGGAAGGAAAAAACTTGAAATGCTACTTGACTTACCATTTCAGAAGGAGATAAATTTCTTCATAAATAATTTAAGATTAAAAACCAATATTGTGCCCTAGCTGGTTTGGCTCAGTAGATAGAGCATCGGCCTGCAGACTGAAGGGTTCCAGGTTTGATTCCAGTTAAGGGCACATGCCCGGGTTGCCGGCTCGATCCCCAGTAGGGGGCGTGCAGGAGGCAGCCAATCAGTGATTCTCTCTCACCATTGATTTTTCTATCTCTTCCTTCTTCTCTGAAATCAATAAAAATATATATATTAAAAAAACAACAATCAATACTGTAAACCTTCCAAAAGAAGTAACCAAAATGTGAAGGTTTACACAATATTTACATAGTGGTTACAGTATTCACAAAATTTTTATGTCCTTTTGTACCCACTTTTTATTTTGATTTTTAAAATTATATACCCTGCATTTATTTATAAGTTTTTGTGTAGATTTTTTCTCTTACATTATTGTGAGCTTATGGTTCTTTAATTAGGTGATCTAGTCTCTTGCATTGTGTGTTTTTCATCTTGGGTCCCTAGCATTCTGTTTTTTGGGTCCCAGGCATAATTTTTTTATCTTCTTAGATCTGTGGAAAAACATTTTGTACTGAAAGTTTGTTTTTTAGTTGTCATTTGTTCAATGATCTGTTTTCTAGTTCAATATTCTACTAGATAACATATTTAAAGGAAACAAGGATTATGGCTTTATAAGAAATTTTAAATATATTGTTAGAAAGCCTAAAATTATTTATAATGTTACCTCTGGCCAGAGGCTTTGAATGGTTTGTTTTTTAAAAATAAAGTCTCCATATTGGCAAGGCTGACCTCCACATTATAAATTTGCTTAAAGATATTCTTTGACTTATTCAAAATAAAATGTACTTAAAATTAATATAATTATAAAATGATTTATTCAATAGCTTTCAAGCAACCTTCCATGACTTAGAAAATATCATAGCCATTAAGATTTTATTAAGAAAGTCGGATCTTCTTAAATACATATTCTAGAGAGCTAGTATACTGCCATATGTAAGTTGGAAAGTGCTCATTGAGCCCAGCTGTGCATTTGAGAAAGTAGGCCTTCCTGTGCTGCCAGGAGCAAACAGGCGTGATAAATGCAAATTATGTCTCGAGATTGCTTATAGCTTGATAAGATGCTATCACGTGCAAAACTATGAACTCTGCTTCTGTTGAGAAGCAGTGTAAATGTCATCAACCTACTGTGAGCTGTCTGAAGCCAACCAAGGCAGACAGAATCCTCTTAAATATGAGACTGATGTTGTCCCTGTAGTCAGTATTGCTGAGGGTTTGCAGGGTGAACCTTTTCCATTCACATGAAACCATTTATTTAAACACATTTTCTTTTGCTAGGTGCTATTTAGTTTTCAGCCATTAAATGTTGTAACCTGAAGCCTGAATAGAACTGGTTCATAATGGGTAGTGTATTACTTATGTCTGTATTTTGTGTGCTTAGCTGTTGCCTGTAGTGATCTGGTTATGGTGTAAGCGCATATCTTCTGTATCATCTACAGAAGTGCTTTGAGCATCTGTTTTATTTTATCTTAAATGATAGCAGTTTGCTATATCTAAAATAGATCAACAAATGTAACTCACTCTTTTAAATTAGGGGTACTATGGAAGGCAATGATGGGAAATATGTATATAGTATGTTTATTGTGTTTTCCATGGATATGTCACTCTGTCACACCTGATTATTTATAAAAAGGAATGTTATCATTATAATTCTTTATCTCATGTATTATACATTTAAAAATATATACCAAATATAGATCTGTTTTGAAGGAAAGGGAATAATATTTTAAGGAGTTTTAACCTCTATTTTAAAATAGAATTTTCTACCATTTTTAAAGGAAAGAGGAAATGAAAGTATCATTTGTTTTTAAACATTGGAAAGAAATAATAGAGCCTTCCTAGCAACTTGAGAAAGATGAGCAGAAAAAATGGTACTGGGATATATGATAAAATTCTATTTATTTGAAGTTAATATTTTTTGAATGTTTTGCTGACTTTGTGCTTTAATATAAGTTTGTGATGTCATATAGTTTGAACTGAAAACCACTAAATATTTAAATTTTTGGAAAACTGAAGAAATCTTTTTCTTAAGTTCCTTTGGACAAAATTTAGACCATTATATTAACTTAAAGATTTCAGAGGATATGGAGTATAGTATTTGAAAATTGTTATTGCAGCCTGGCCTGTGTGGCTCAGTGGTTGAGCATGGACCCATGAACCAGGAGGTCATGGTTGGATTCCGGTCAGGACTCATGCCTGGGTTGCGGGCTTGGTCCCCAGTGCAGGAGGCAGCCAATCAATGATTCTCTCTCATTGATGTTTCTCTCTCTCTCTCCCTTCCTCTCTCTGAAAGCAACATATTTTAAAAAGTTGATTTTTCTGCCCAAAGGATCCTGAACATATTTAGTTACTCAGTAGTTATTTAAGAATTTAAACCAGAAGATTTTAAAGTTTTATATTCTTGCAATACATACAATGGCATTTGCAGTTAACAAATTTGTGGTTGTTTCCATTGATATACTTTTAAAGTAACGTAAACTTTTCTATTTCAAGTGAAGCTTGACTTATTTTGTAGCTGTATTTATAATGTACTCTTTATTGTTTCCAAGTATTGAAATACTTTAATAAAATAATAAATTGTATTATTTCCCCTTAATACCTTTATTTCTTTGAGGTTATTTGTTTTAAAAGATTTAACAACTGTTGTCAAATTCTGGGTTCAAATATCTGTTGACAGGATACAAAATTATACACTTTGCAATTTAAATGTTTAAGTTCTATAAAGATTTATTTGCTCCAGCCACTTTAAGAAATGAAAAGCTAAAGTAAGATATTATAATTGGCATTACAGTGGATAAATTGGCATTGAAAATACAATAGGACATCCTAGTATTTTAAGTCAGGAGAAGATGCTGAATTATTCTCAAGTTAAACTACTTGAAAATTCTAACCATGACATCATTGAGATAAGTGAGACATCATCCAGCACCCGCCTACCACTTCACACATCATTACTCCTCTGACATACTCATTGCCCACTGCTTTCTCCCTCGCTCTCCCTGTTTTAACCAAACTGGCCTCTTGGCTGTGCATTCCTTGAAAATGCATAATCAAGGTTCCACTTCATTATCTGCTGTTACCTCTACCTGGGACACTTTCCCCCAGAAACATCAAGTGTTACCTTCTTGGTAAAGCCTTCTCTAATCACCTTGTTTAAAATTGTTCCCATCTCTAACATTTTTATCCAGCTTTCTTGTTTTATATATGGCATAGCTCTAATTATCACCAAAATTCTATATACTTATTTTATTGTTTTCCTCATCAAAACTTGGGCTCCCATGAGGATTTTGGTATAGATAAACATCATTTACTGTGGTGTATTCCATAGTAGGCATTCAAAAAATTGCTTATTAGAAGGGAGGGAGGATGAAAGAAAAAAAATTGATGCATTCCTCCCCAGGTTATATAAGTTTTGATGTTACTTTTTCACTTTCAATGGGTAATAAGAACCATTTAATTGAGTAAAAGATAACAGGCAAATCAGCAGCTAAACTGATGCTTCTTTTGGTATTTGGCTGCCCCTTCTCTGCCAGTTGTTTACTGTAATGAAATGATTAGGAAAAAACATGTTTCCAAATGTAATATTTATTTTAATTTATAAAGACATAGCTTTGGTCATTATTTATAGAGATCAGATAATGCAAATTACAATTAGTGGATTTGTATATTTTGGACATTCCTACCCTCCTGCCTCAGTCTGTTTGGGCTGTTATAATGGAATACCACAGACTGGGTGACTTATAAACAACAGAAATTTATTTCTCAGAGTCTGGAGGCTGGGAAGTCCAACATCAAGGCACCAGCAGATTTGGTGTCTGGCGAGAGCTGGCTTCCTGGTTCACATACGTAGTCTTGTTGCTGTGTCCTCACATAGCTGAGGGGGTGCCCCGCCCAGGGATCGAACCCACAACCTTCTTGGTGCATGAGACTGCCGGAAGCCGGTCCATCCTTGCTGCTTGACACAGTCGCCGCAGGAAAGAAACATCTGCACAGCATATGTTTCAAGGGACCTGGCATATATAGCATATTGTTCTTAATATGTTTGCTCTCCTTAGCGCCATGTGTTTTAACCAAGGTCACCTCTCTGAGAAAGGTTGTTTCCCCAGGTGGGGATTTTTCCCTGAGGTTAGGGAGGAGATACAACCCCTTAATTAAGTGCCAGGCGGGTAGTTAAGCTACATAATCTTTACTCCCTGGAATGGAGATAAGAAACGCCCTAACCTTTGTAATAGAAATTGACAGGATTAAAATCGGCTGGTATAAATACGGATGTAACAAGACAATAAACATCAGATCCTCATCAGTTCCTAACCAGAACTCCGACCAGAACTTTGGCTGGAGATCCTGGCTAGAGGTCCTGACTAGGCTGCTGATCAACTGAAGGCTGTCTTCGTGTCATTCCTTCTTTGCCAACTCCGTCCACACCTTTGGGGACCCCTGGACCCGCTGGGATTGGACTCCAGCATGAGACAACACTCCAAGCAACTGAACTTTTTTAACAGGTACATAATGTTCTTTTGCTTGGCTAGATAAACATTTATATAGAAATTCCTTCATTGGTGAACCTTTCTTGTGACCTTAATTCTAAAAAGGGAATTGCTGGGTGTGGTGGGCTGAATGATAGCCCTCAAAAGATGTTCCCATGCTAACCTCTGGATCCTTTATGAATGTTTTCTTACACAGCAAAGGCTTGTTTATGATGTAATTATTAACTTAATCACCACCACTAGACATTGAAATGGTAAGATTATCCTGGATTGTATGAGTAGGCTCTAAATGTAATTACTAATAATGTCCTTCTAAGAGGGAGGCAGAGGAATATTTTACTCACAAGGAGGCCATGTGATGACAGAAATAGAGAGAAGCAGTGTCAGAGACATATATGCTACTCAGCTGGCTTTGAAGGGGGAGGACAGAGCCTCTAAGAGCCAGGAAATATGGTTAGCCTCCAGAAATTAGAAAAGGCAAGAAAACATTCTCTCCTGGAGCCACCAGAAGAAACCAGTCTTGCTGACACCTTGAAACTAGCCCCATAAAACTCATTTCAGATTTCTGGCACCCAGAATTGAAAAAGATAAATTTGTGTTGGTTTAAGCTGCCAACTTTGAGGTAATTCAGTATGACCTCATCTGAACTTGATTACATCTGCCAAGACTCTATTTCCAAATAAGGTCACATTCACAGGTACTGAAGGTTAGGACTTGAACATATCTTTTGGGGACACATCAACCCATACACCTGTAAAAAAAAAAGAGAGTCAACTCATCTAAGTGGTTTTAAATTTTGATCTTTGGGAACTTTCCGTTTATCGCTGGAACTGTTATTGCCTCACTGAAATTACAAAATTCTTGCTGGACTTGGATTTCAGGAAATACCAGAGGAAACAGTGAGGGAGGATGGGTGGGTTATTTTGAGGATAATCAGTTTGGTATGAACCAGAGAATATCCCACAATATATACATGTAGCACATCACTTTTATCAAGTTAGCAAGTGAGTAAAACTAAGCAATTTATTTTTGCGCGCACATACATAGAATATGTGTGTGTGTGATATTCGAATACGCTCTAAAGAAAAGCACAAAGTTGGGGCGGGGAGGTTAGGAGGACAGTCGGGATCCTATGGGGAGGATTCCGCGGTACGGTAGGTGCACGGGTGTTTGTTGACTGTTAGCTCCCATTATTTCCTCTCTTTTGCATTATTTACCATATTTTGTATGTAAGAAAACAGCAAGCACCAATTATGCTCTTTTGTAAAATTGTGTCTATATAACACATTTTAAAAAATGGCATAGCGACGGTAGCAAATATGCGCGGAGAATGAGCTTCACGCACTAAACCCAGAAAACGACATTGGGAAGGGCACCAACTGCTTCTCCAAGCCAACTTGTCCAGGTGTTACTCGGAAAAGCTGACCGATGACAGAGTCTTGGGGAAGCTCACGCTAGTTAAGAAACCACGAATAACAGGACTCGCGCGTCTCTGAAACTCAAACACCAAACATCAGGAGACTCAGGGCGTGAGCAGAAGCATCCCGAGAACCGTAGTTCCCACGCAGGTTCCCACCTTCCCAGGGAGCTCCTGGGAGCTGCTGAGTCTGCGCAGAGACCTTTGCCCCATTCCAAAAGGACGGCTCCGGCTCCCGGAGCGTCAGGACGGCGCATATCCGGAAGTGACGTCACTCCGTCAGGCAGCGCGCCCCTACCCGCGGGAGACTTTCCGCCATTTTTTGAAAATCGGGAGGGTCCGGAGCGAAGTGTAGCCGCCGCCGCCGCGATGGCAGCCTTTGCCGTGGAACCCCAGGCAACCACGTTGGGTAAGTGAAAAGCTGCCCTTCCTCGCTGGCACTGCGATCCCCGCCGCAGGCCTGGAAGCGGGCAGAACTGAAAGGCCGGAGCCATCAGGCTCTCGCCTGCTAGTTTCCGTCTCGAAGGGGGAGCCCTCGGGCCGCCCGTTTTGTGCCCCCTTAACGCCAGCCCGCCGGACGTGCAGGTACCTGAGCCACCCACCCCCCGCGTCCTAGACAGGATCCGGGCATTGTTGGTAGGAAGGGACCTACCCGCCTACACGTGGGTGGGGGTGGGCGGTGCCCCGCGGTGTGGTTGCCTAGCACCGCTGCTGGGTCGCCTGCGCTTGTCGTTCCTGCTGGATTTCACCCCTCTCCTGGCCTTTGCCGGGGAATCTGTTTGATTGAAGGAGCTTGAGTCGTGCGACGGTAATAA